CCTGGGCCAGCTCACTTGTGCCTCAGATGGCCTTCTCTGGGCCTACCTGCTCCCCTTCCCCTGGGTCACACTTCCTAGGTCTCCTCGGCTGGCTGGCTGAGCACCACCCAGAGTGAGGAGCTTCCCGGCAGCTCTGGGCCAGACAGTCCAAGTCGGGCAGCTCTGCTGAGCCCACCACAGCCTCCAGCAGCAGGCTAGCCTCCCAGGCCCTAGAGGGCTCAGATGTTGCACGGGGCTTTTTTGTGTTCCCCAAGGTCTCCATGGACGCTGCCAGTCCACAGTCACCTTTGGGGTACATCTGGGCCTGCTGCTGCCAGCTGTCCCCTCTGGTCATCTCTGGGGGTTTGGTGGGGGCAGTTGAAAGCTGGCCATGGTGAGGGGGCGCTGTGGTAGTTTTTTGGCGAACTGCTCACACTTAACTGGGGCTGCCTCCACGGGAAACTTCTCTGGGACACGGGGTGGCAGAGGGCCTGGAGGGTGGCCCTCACCAGGCGCTGTCCTGCTCTGGGTGCGACAGGGCTTGCTCACTGCCCAGTGACCGACCCCATAGGCGCTCGTGGCCCAGCAGTCCAGGCAGGCTGAGGGTTGGACGTCATTCCAGGAGGTGCAGCTGACTGCGCTTGTCCTGTGCTCCGCAGGTACCACATGGAGTGCCTAGACCCTCCGCTGCAGGAGGTGCCTGTGGACGAATGGTTCTGCCCGGAGTGCGCTGCCCCAAGCACCAGCTCTGGTGAGGGAGCCGCTGGGGGCCTGGTCACTTATGGGGCCCAGGGTGGGATCTGGCTGGTGGGCCAACAGGAGTGGGGTGCAGGTAGCAGGTATGCAGTCTCCATCTTTTGTCCCCAAGACCCCAGCCACATCAGCGAGGAGGAGGTCTCTCTGCTCTTGGCTGACATGGTACCCACTAGCAGCAGGCTGCGGCCCACCACCAGCCGGACCCGGGCCATCGCCAGGACTCGGCAGAGCGAGCGGGTGAGGGCCACTGTAAACCGGAACCGCATCACCACCGCTCAGAGAGCCCAGGTAAGTTCCTGTCCCGAGTGGTCTGTGAGCATGGGCTCGGGTGTGTCAGGTCCTCCATCCAGCTGTAACAGGAGCCACAAGCCCATGGTGCAGGACGCAGCCACAGCAGCAGCTCGGTTCAGGAGCCCTGACCAGTTGCCTGGCCGTAGTGTGCAAGTGGGAGATGCGAGGCAGGGGTGCTAGGTGCACTCGGTGAGGTCTGAGTGGAGGGGCCTTTCCCTGTTGGGGCCCAATTTGCAGCTCATCCCTTGTGTCTGCCTGTAGGAACTGTGGGTCGTGAAGGGGGTGGGCTTCCTGGTGACAGCACTGTCTCCTGTGCTGTGCAGCATGTCCCAAGGTACCTGATGTCGTCTCTGCTTGAGGAGACCATTGAAGCGGTCGCCTCCGGTTTGAGCACGGCTGTGTATCAGCGACCTCTGACCCCGAGAGCACCAGTGAGACGCAGAAGGAAGACAGGTAAGCCCGTGCCTGGGGGTGGCCACCTGTGGGCCTGCGCCTCTCGACAGCCTGCTTTGCCTGTTCTGCTTCCTGCACAGCCATGTCGGGCCTGGCAGGGCACATGGGACCCAGCGCCGCCAGTAGGCTCTTGCCTGGGTGTCTCCGGGTTGCCTGCCCGGTGGACGTTTAGGAATGAGCTGGCAGGGGGGTGGTGAGGGTGGTGTGTGTGTGTGTGTGTGTGTGTGTGTGTGTCGGGAGTTAGGTTAGGAGTTGGGGAGAGTATGCATGTCTATGGGGCCGTGTGGGGTAATCGGGCATGTGTATGTATGTAGGGGTGGAGGAGTGTGTGTATGGGAGAGGTGTATGGGAACGTGATGGGGGCCGCTGTAATAGCTGCTGAATGGTTGAGTTTCAACAAGGCTGTGGTAGACCCCGATCACACCAGCACTTGAGTCCCCAGGGCTGGCTTTTCCTCTCCTTGGGGCCTAGCATCTCTCCAGTGGGTGTGCCCGTTGTGGCTGTGCCTTGTTTCGGGCAGCCGGCTCCCTGGAGCCTGTGTGGGGCTTAGGGTTCCTGCCGTTGGCCGTAGGCATAGCCCAGGGGTGAAGGTACGGAGCCTCCTCTCAGCCCCTGGATGCTGAGGGGCCATGTGGCAGGTGCAGTCAGGCTACTGCATGAGCTCAGGGAAGGCCTGGGCACACACTGGTGGTGGCGCCTTCCTGAGTCCAGCACAGGCCCGTCTCCGTGAGTACATTTACCTCTGCCAGCGTCATCTTTATTTGGAACCGGTGCTGGACATTGCCTCCGTCCGCCCGTCCCTCCCTCGCCAGCCGGCCTTTGGAAACGGCAGGTGGTTTTCCTGCGGGGCCAGCGACTTCCCGCACTCCTCTTGGGTGGGTTCTGCTGGAAGGATGGAGGTTCAGCCCTTAGGTTCGGGTCCTTGCTGCCCATGGATGCATGGTTCTTTGTTTGTGGTGTGGAGCTGGCTCTGACTTAGAGACCCTGTGGATGGAGCAGGGGCGTCGGTTCATCCCCTGTGCTGTGTGCTGAGGTCTAGATGCCTGTCCCTCGTGTGCCTGGCAGCACAGTGTGGACAAGTGGGAATCGGGGAGAGAACGCTGGCTCTTCATCTTCAGGGAAGCCATAGTCTTCCACAATGTTTCGTTTTTTTGTTGTGAGTGAGGCAAAGGTTTACAGTTTCACGTCCCACAACTCACACACGTTTTGTTTCAGAGCATCTACGTTCTGCATGTGCCCTCCTCCTTGCTTCCATCCACCTCCTTGCCCAGCTCCTGACCTTGTCCTGTGGGCAGGGTGCTGAACCGCGTCCCTGTGAAGGCCTCTGGCCAAGGGTCCAGGATTGCCTGGTGAATCGGTTTCGTTTCTGCCTGGCCCTCCAGGTCTGTGGGTCAGTGCCAGTGGTGATTCTATGGTGAGCAGGTATTCGTTGGAGGGGTAGAGAGTGGTGGGGGAAGTAGGAGGAAGCGCACCCTTTGAATCTGCCACCCCTTCTGGGCAGCTGGCACCCACAGGAGAGCCGCCCAGAGCCTCAGGCCTTGGGCTTCAGCTCCTGCTGGTGTCCAGAGGCGAGCAGGGGCCGTGTAGGGTCCTGCTTGTGGTGGTTGCGTAGCCAGAGCACGTTTCATTGACCAGAGTCGTTAGACCCCACGCTGGCATCGTGTGGGTGAATGAACACCCAGTGTCCCAGCCTTCCAGAGGGCGCTTTTTACTGCTCAGAGCTCAGAGCCCAGCCTGGCTGAGGACAGGTGAGGGCGGTTCCTAGCCTTCGTTCCCTGAGCCGTTGATTAGGGAGGAAGACAGTGCTTGTCTTGCAGAACTTCTGCTGCCTGTAGTGCGCTGGCCTCTCTCTGTGGTCCTGGGGGCTTCGGGCAGGGCTACCTCCAGCTGTGTGCCCCCCGCGCCCCCCCGCACACACGCCGAGGGTGCTCACAGAGGTGGAGGACTGGTCCGACATGGGCACTCCTGGTACAGGTAGCTTTCTACTGGATTCCCGGTTCTCTAGCCGTTGGACTGCTGGTGGAGGCCGTGCACAGTGATGCACAGGAGTGTCTGACTCTGAGGAGGTCCGCCTCAGCGGTTTTGCCTTGCGTGAGATTTTGTGGCTTCGTTGTCTTTGGCAGCTCTGAGTTTCCATACTTCAGTGGGTGAGCATCAGCCCTTCTAGGGGGGGAAGGTCCTGAAGGCCAAGTGTGCAGTCCAGGACCAGTCTTGGGGCTTACGGCTGGTTGTGTCTCCTCCCATGCCCCTCCATAGCACCGCCCCTCCAGCTGACCCGGCTGTGGTGGCCCAGGGTCAGGCGCAGAGACCCCTGTGGGTGCCCACCTCACAGTTGGGCAGGAGGAGGGGCGAGGGCTTGCAGGCCGTAGTTCCAGCTCGTGTTGCTGTGCTAACCATGTCCACCCTCCCCGCTGGACAGTAGCACACCTTTTTTGAGCTAAGAGTCATTGTTCCTAACCTCTTCCATGGTCAACAATAAACTCTACAAAACCAGGGTCTAGAACACAGTGGATAAGCGGGCTTCTGCCCACGGTGACGTGCGTCTCTCTCCCCTCCTCAGGGAGACGCAAAAAAGTGCTGGGCAGGAAGAAGGCGCCGGCCAGGTCTTCGGTGCGGAGCAGGAGCTCGGGGGCCAGGGCCAGGCGCCGCCAGGGCCGCCTGAAAAGGCGCCAGGGGAGAGGGCTGAAGGTAGGTGCGGGACCTCGGGTGGCACCAGGGGAGAGAGCTGGCAGCGGGCACCCGTCGTGATCACAGCCTTCAAAGCATGTCTGCTCTGGGTGGTGCTGCAGAGGGGCAGCGTTTGGCCCAACTGACCGCTGGTTTCTGGCCTCACAAGGCTGCCATGTGCACAGTGGTCCTGGGAGAAGGTGCCACACTGCCTGGCTCCTGGGTGGAGGCGGCGGGGCTGTTGTCAACCAACTCCAGGCTTTGCAGTGAGACATAGTTTCAGCACCTGGGCGCTCTGCTCAGCTGCCAGTGCCGCCCTCTCCCTGCTACTCAGGTCAGACACAAGGTCACCACGCATGCCCGCCTTGCCAGGACGCTGGGCCTGCGGAAGCCTGCGTTCGGCGCCTCCCTCCCGTCTGTGCACAAGCCTGCCGACCCCTCCCTGGGGCTGATGCGTGCAGACATCGGGGCTGCGTCTCTGTCCTTGTTTGGAGACCCTCACGAGCTGGATCCCTTTGACAGGTGACTGCCCCCAGGTGCAGTGCCCACCTGACCTGGTCGTGCCCCTCTTCCCCCTACTCTGATGTTGAAGTCTTGGGGTTCACCCTGGACCTTGAAGTATGGGGCCTGAGGTAACCTGTTCTCTTTGGCCTGTGTTTTCTCAGCAGTGACGAGCTTTCCGCAAGCCCTGCTTCTCCTCTGAGTGCCAAGAGGAGGGTCCTGTCCCAGTCGGCTCTGCGCTCCCACCAGCCTGTGGCCAGGCCTGTCTCCATGGCGCTGTCCAGGTGTGTGTGTCTGTCATCTGTCTGCATGTGCTCTTGGGCTTGGACTGCTCCTCCTGGTTCACACACCCAGCCCTGGGAGTGAGGGATTGGGGGTTGCAGTCCCTCGAGACCCCCGTTGGACAGTGCTCCCCAGCTTGGGCAGGACCCATCTGGGTGCTCTTGTGAAGGTGGGGATGTGTGGGCTGGATGAGTAGAGGCAGAGGTGGCTAGTGCCCAAGCTTCAGGATGGGTCTCTGGGCCCCTGGCGTGGGCTGGCAGCAGTGGCAGCCCATCTGGTCTCTGCAGGAGGGGCACTCCTGCTGCGGCCGCTCCAGAGCCCCCAGTGGAGGCGGCCCCTGTCCCTGACCTGCTGGGCAGCATCCTGTGTGGCCAGAGCCTCCTGATGATGAGTGGCGAGGACGTGGTCATCCACCGCGATGGCTCCCTGAGCGCCAAGAGGGCAGGTGAGCACTGCTGGGCACCCACAGCCGCCACGCGCAGGGGGCGTCACCACTGCCCTCAGACCTTCTTAGACCCGGCAGGTGTTCTGGGGAGGCCTGCTCTCAACATTGCCATCACCGTCTATTTCAGCTCCAGCTGTGTTTCCTCGGCATTCCCTCAGCAGGCCTGGTGGACCCACAGACTGCAGGCCTGATGGTCCACAGCCTGCAGCCCACCCTGAGGGTGGCCTGGCTGGGAATGGGCCCCCAAGCTTGGCATTTCTACCATCCCACAGCCGGCCCAGCCCTGCCCCCTCCACAGGCCCAGCCTCCAGGGTCCCTACATACACGCTGGGGCCAGCTCTGAGGCTGACCTCTTCTGGGGCCCCCCAGGCCAGGCCAGGCCAGGCCTTGGCCAGCAGAGGTGCACCGCCCCGACCCAGCATGCCTGCGCGTGCTGCAAGTTCCACATCACCCAAGATCTCCACTAGGGGCATGTGCTCACCCCCCGGACACCCAGGGCTGGGGCGTTCCCTGAAGCCGGCACCTGGGAGAAGGGACATCTCGGAGCTTCCCAGAATACCAAAGATCAAGCAAGTGGGCAGCAGCGGGAATGCAGGCTCGGGCTCACTCCCAGGTGGTGGGCCACGAGTGGAGATCCCCAGCTCCTGCATCAGCCGCCTGACGGGCAGAGAGGGCCCTGCGCAGCCTGGGCGAGGGCCTCGAGTTGAGCCTGAGCCTAGCCGCCAGGGTCCGCGGGAGCCCCAACCCTCAGGCCCCGGCTCCCAGGGCAGCCCAGCTCCCGCTCCGGTCGGGTCCGCCAGGGGCAAGGGCATGGGATCTGCCTTTGAGAGCTTCCGGATTAATATTCCTGGAAACGTGGCCCACTCCAGCCGGCACCCTAGCCCGGGCTTCTGTAACACCTTCCGGCCCGTGGACAACAAGGTGCAGCGGAAGGAGAACCCAGCTCCCCTCTTCTCACTCAAGAAGCCTAAGCAGCTCAAGAGCGAGATCTACGATCCCTTCAACCCCACCGGGTCCGACTCCAGCTCCCCCAGCAGCAGCCCTGAGCGGCCAGGCGCTGGCCTGCTGCCCTCCGAGATCACCAGGACCATCTCCATCCACAATCCCACGGCCCCCGCCGGCCAGACAGTGCGCTGTGTCACCTCCTACACAGTGCATGCTGCCTTCCGGCCTGAGCCTGACAGCCCCCGGGATGGTGCTGCCTCCGACCTGGAGCCTGAGGCCCCAGGGGCGCCCCGGCGCAGCGCCTTCTTTGACTCGGAGGCACGTACTGTGACCTGCGTGACGGTGGTGGAGCCTGATGCCACGCTGAGCCCGGATGAACTGCCACCCACCACCCACCGAGTCGTGGAACTACGCTCACCTTCGCCAGCCCGCTCCGACGCGGAGGCTGCAGCCAAGGAGCCGCAGAGGACGCGCTCCCGCAGCCGCTCAGGTTCCCGCTCCCGGGAGAGGAGCTCCCACTCAGTCTCCCCATCTGCTGTCCACACCCGGAAGCAGCGGCCCAAGGCCCGGGCGCGGCACTCCTCCAGCGAGGGCTCCAGCAGCCGCGAGCGGGGCCGGCGGAAGAGGGTCAAGGGCCGCGAGAGGGAGCGGGCCTCCTGGGGCCACGGGCGCAGGCGTTCCCGCTCTGGCAGCGCCGGCAGCTCATCACATGAGCACCACGAAAGTCGCAGGAAGAGGCCTCGGAGCTCAGCATCCCGGTCCCGCGTTCGCGATGGATCGCCGGCCAGCAGCCTGGAGCGCGTCCATAGGCACAAGCACCGGCGGGAGCGCAGCCACGACAGGACCGAGCGCAAGGAGGGGGCTTCTCGGCCACGGGGCCGGCGGCGCTCACGGGAGAGGAGCAAGTGGCGGGCTCGCTCTCCCAGTGCAGAGCACCGGGCCAGGGAGCAGCGAAGGCCCCGCTCCCGGGAGAGACTGCCCCGGACTCACTCTCGTTCCCCAGACAGAAAGCCACCGGCCAAGGAGGTGACCCCGCCGCCTGCGCCCAACACCCCCGCTTCAGATGAAGGACCCTTGGCCAGGCCCCCTGGCCCTGAACAGCGGGAGGTGACAGCTGAGGCATCCACAGCCTCGCCAGAGGTGCCTGTGGCCAAGCTGGCCGAGGCCCTCCGAGGGCCCGAGGGCCTGAGTGAGGATGTGCTGGATGACCTGGACTATGGTGATGCAGTAGAGGCAGGCCATGTCTTCGAGGATTTCAGCGAGGCTGTCTTCCAGCTGGATGACATGAGCTCCCCGCCTTCCCCGGAGAGCTCCGACTCTTCTCCGGAG